GATGATGTGCAACTGCTCTCAGGCAGAAACAAACCATGAAATTAATGGCACTGCCACTGGCAGCTGGCAGCACCCATGGCCAAGACAGACACCTGAAAAGCTGGCACGGTCAGATCACCATAGCGCTCATGAGAAGGATCCCACCCATGCAGAAAGAAACAGCAAGACGGCACAAGGCCAGTTACAGCCCAATAGTCCCACACAGGGAAAGTCCTGGAGGCTTTGTGGATCTGGGGAGGTGTTCAAGCTTCTCCTGCACATCTGGCGGAGCAGCAGCAGCTGCACCGCAGTGATCAATGTCAGCATTTGCCACAAGGACTTGTTCCACAGAGAGGGGGTGGGAGTAGGTGTAGGAGCAGGGTTGGTTACAGTGTGCCTTTCAAACTTTTATTGATTTCCTAATCTCTTATTTAAAAACATTAAGAGGGAGGGAAAAAGAAAAGAATTTTGCTGTGAGCCCAGAGGGCCTTATGGCCCCTCAGATCTACCCACCCTCATCCACTTACACAGAGGGATGTCTTTTTACTGAGTGCTAAGTGCCCGTCAATTTTTTCCCCAAAAACACTTCAGCAGGAGTTAGGAATGAAAGGGCCTGGGGAGGTGAAACAGCTGAACTCATGGTGTCGGAGTGAGCAACCTGTCTGTCTGGCAAACGTACTACCTGAGCTTGCCCTAAAGCTCCGATCCATCTGGCACTTAGACATGGGCCCAACCTTAATAATTCAGGCTGCGTGAAATTAAGCAAGCATGTAAAATGAGTGTATGTTTAAGGGCCTGGTTCAGCTGAGGTCCACAATAGGGAGTACTTCAGGCCTGACTCTCCACTGGTTTGCAGCTGGTAAGGATATCTGAAAAGGACATCACCACACTGCGGCACTATGCACTCCCAGCGTGGAGGCTGAAATGACTCGGTTTCCAGCGCTTTTTGAGAGAGAATTGGTGCAGAATTTCAGGAGCTGAAGTGAAAAAATATATTGGTAAGGGTGCACAGAGAAATACTAAAATTATTGAATTAAAATTCATTGGCAGAACCAGGGGATGAGAGGCACCACAGCCATAGTCTGCACAAGAAGCAGCAATTCACAGGTCTGGAGAAAGGGCTTGGAAAGAGCAGAAACAAAAGGATAAGACTGATATGGGTAGGGAAATAGTAAAATGAGAAACAATGAAAGAGACAGCAATAAAACATGCATCTGTCATTTAATCCTGGGTAAATACCCAGATTAGTGACATCAGTTTCTGCTGTTAATTTGGAGCTTACTTTGGAGCCATGTCTCCCAAGGCTGACACAGCTGTGATACAGCCCAGCAGAAAGCACAACCAAGGATTTATCCCAGATATGGCTGCTCCGGTACAACACAGGAATTAGGCAAAACTAAAGTTTGTATGCAAAAGTTGTGTTTCCAACCCTTGTGCTCATAAAAATAAAGCTGGCATGAGCTGGCAGAACAAGGAAATTCAAAAGTTTCAGATTCTTATCACAAATTTTCACATCATCTTACAATCACTCAGTGCTTAGATGGACTTTGAAGGTCATAAAGGTTAAACACACTGTTTCTTGATCGAGTTATTGGGTCTTGATATCGGGCTCCGTTACCCCATGTACTGTGGTAAAGTAAGAGCCCTCATCAAGCCAGGTCTGCTGCAGGGGTTCAGTTCAGTTGGCTCAAAGCTTCTCTCCAGTACAAGCCAAACTGCACCAAGGGGATGAAGAAAAAAAATATTTATCTGAGGTGATAGCCTTGGACAAGAACCCAGGAGGTTGCTGGTGTTGCTGCCAGAGGGAGTGCAAACAGACACCACTGTGGCTAAGAGGCACTTCCCCTGAAAGAAGCAGCTTATATCTCATGTACTCCGCAACAGACAAGGTGTGGGCTTTCGGCTGAGCAAGCCAAAGGCAGAGGAGAGACATTTCAGGACTGTGCTTAGTTTCAGAAAGCCGTCCCTGCTTTCTCTGGCAGGTGTACACTAAACAGTAACGCTACTGCCTCCCCTTAGAAGTAAGCAGCCATTTTACCAACTTTCATCGTTCTGCCACCCCAGACACTGCCCCACAAAGGCGGGATCTGGTTCATTCACTTTCTAAAAAAATATTAACAAATACAATCCATGCATAAAAAATGGTGCTTTTTTTTGTTCTTGATTTTAACTAGGTCAGCCCACAAGAAACATCCAACCCTCTGCTCACCTGATCCTGCTGTCATGTTCCTTGCCTAACCCGTTAGGAACAAAGCTGTAAGGTGAGATATTTTAACAAGGCCGTTGATGTTCTTGGAGATAAATGTGTTAAGTTACTGCTGGTTTTGCCACTTGCAAGCAGGGAGGGGAAGGCTGATCCATAGCAGTTAAAATGTTACTGAGCACCAGGGGCAGCTGGCATCTGCTGAGAAAGGCACATGGAAAACATGACGCCAAGCAAGTGGGGCTAATTAACACTGGTTTCTTAAATTAGAAGGCTCTTAATGGCTAATGTTTAAAAATAACACCTTAATGACACCTAAAAATAGCTGCTGCCAAGCCCCAGAGTATTTGGACTTCCATTAAATTGGGAGTCCGTTTCCCGTGACTGGTGGTGTAAATCACATTTATCTTTTATAACCTGTTCTGCCTGAGATTAGCTGCAAAGACTGATGCATGACCTTGAAAGCCTATGCAAGAGTAACCTAGAGCAGTCTTCTGAATGGCGTGCAATATATGGATATGATGTGTGGTCTGAGTAATTGTATAATCTTAGGTTGCACTCATCTGCAGACACGCACAGGGGAAAATACTGAGGGAGTGGGGTACTATTAGACTAGGCAGAGACCAGGGGTGTGAAAGGAGGTGCTGGGGTTAGGGCCTGGGCCTGAGACACGGGAGACCAGATCGCCATTTCCACTTCACTCACAGATTTTCTGTGACATCTGTGTAGGTGCCCTGTCCTCCTGCTGTGCTTCAAAGCCATGTCTAGATCTCCCTTATCCTGAAGGGGTATTACCAGGATAATTTCTCAAGGTGTGTGGCATGCTTAGATACAACAATAATATACCTCACAAGAAACAAACAGTGATATAAAAAGAGAAAATACTGCTTAATTTTCCTTATGCTTAATATCTGAGCCAAATCTGAATATTCTGGAATGCAAATTTATGTTGAGGACTTCTAGAGCTCTTACCCAAGCATGTGGTAGGAACAGAAATAAAATACCTCCGGCACTGCTGGGGATAACCATTAGCTTACTTCTGCTGTGCTTCTCTGTGTTGTGCTTGGCCCTAACCTGTCCTATCATATCACAATACTCCATGATTGCTGATACAAAGAGAAAAATCTGCAGCTTGACCTTCCCTGTCAGAATGCAGACAGATCCCATGGCATCTACCTGGAACAATGATTTCTGATGTAAAACCCTCGACATTTGTCTCACTATTTGCAAATTAGGCAAAATACTTCAACAACCACATAAACCCAGTTATTCAAGCATTATGTAAAGAGTCTCTGAAAGACCAGAAAGCTCTGTCAGTTGGAAAATGCCTTCCTAAAACTAGCCACAATAAAGGAAAGCTGGTCTTTGGTTTTTCTTTTCCCTTCCAGTCAAAGGGCTGGGTACTTCTCTGCATATCCTGTCCCAACATCGCATTCCTCCCCATCCTATGTCTGCACACAGCAGACACGCTCCCAACAAAAGAAAAGGAACATGTGTAAGCATAAGACTCTCAGTCTGCATTGCTGTCCTGCCTAGCCCATATAATCCCTGTGCTTTTCAATTTTTTCCTTTCTTTTGACATAATGTCCAAGGCAGATTCTGGGTTGTTTCAGGAAGAGACGCCCCATCTTGTTGTTATATTCAGAAATCGGTGCCTGCTGCAACATGGTCTGGAGATGAAGACTGGCACTGATGCACACCTCAAGCACTCCCATCTCATTACTGAGATAAGGGAAATATAAATCAGCTTTTACTTTTCTCCCTTTGCATTATTTTGTTGTTCTAGTGGTCTTCGTTAGTTTGGCCAGGTGGTTTTCCTCTCTTTGCCTGCTAAGGCCCAGTCCTGCAAACACTTATGCTTTCTTCCACGAACATGCGTTCAGCACATGCATGGGTCTTTGCAGAATTGGAGCCTAAACTTGTTTCTGTTTCTGAATTCCAAGTTGGATTTTGATGCAACAGTTATTTTATATATTAAAATATCAGGTTTCTGCCCACACACATAATGCATGATGTATAACAGACCTTGCAAGGCAGCCACTGGAAAAGACCACTTAATCTGCGATTTATACAGAAGGAAGAGTTACTATTCCTTGTTTTTCAGCTAGAATTTATACGTGACCAAACTGTGAAGGTGTTGCTGCTCAGAAGCTCCATGATGTACATCTGGTTTCATGTGCTGTCATTTCGCCCACAACCTAAAATCATAAGCTGAAACTCCACAGAGACTAATGAAAATTATTCCCCTTTGAATTGCTTTATTAAAACGCAACCTCAAGAAATACTGGCAAGTCAGGAAAGAGACTTTAATCCAATACTTGTTATCCTCTTCCACAGATTTTAAATCACTCTCTTTGCTCCCTACTTTGAGCAAATACACCCTTATTGTTTCCTTAGTCCTGCTATGACCTTCTGGGAATGTTTTCATCATGTAAAGCAACCTGCAGTTCCCTACTTTATAAATCTCATTCATTCCAAGTGTTAACACTAGCTAATTCTCTGCTTTAGAAAGGAAATCATGTTTGTTTTTTTGAAGAGTCTGCTGGGAAGAGGAATATTTGCATTTAAAATATTTTTTTCCATTTCATAAATTGTCTTTTCTTCCCAGTGGACAACAGAAGACTGTTTATATAAGTGAAGAGGGAAGCTTGCTTTCCCATTACTTCCACAAAAGTAAGATTAACAGCGATAACTATGCTAATTATGGCACTAACTGCACTTGGACTGCACCTTACTGGCTGGAGAGGTAATGCATTTGGGTAATAATTAACTCCTTTTTCCCTCAATTACCTTTTATTAGGCGAGCAGAAGGTGTCAAAGTAAAACAGCTGCATATCTTCCAAGAAAAGCTCGTGTTTTCCGAAGCGGAGGTGCTTTATTAAGAGAACTAGGCAGGACAAACATTAACATGGCAAGCTCGGCTGTTCAGTTACTTGGCTTCTCTCTAAGCCTGCTTGGCCTAATTGGGACATTAATTGCTACTATTCTGCCACACTGGTGGCGAACAGCACATGTAGGCACCAATATTATAACAGCTGTGGCCTATATGAAAGGGCTTTGGATGGAATGCGTCTGGCACAGCACCGGCATCTACCAGTGCCAGGTCCACCGCTCCCAGCTGGCGCTGCCCCCTGACCTCCAAGCCGCCCGTGCCATGATGGTAATTTCCTGCGTCCTTTCTGCACTGGCATGCGTGATTGCTGTCATCGGTATGAAGTGCACACAGTGTGCCAAGGGGACTTCCGCCAAAGCCGCCATCGCAGTCTCCGGGGGGATCGTTTTCATTCTGGCTGGTCTCGTTTGCCTGGTACCTGTTTCTTGGACCACTAACAACGTTGTTACAGAGTTCTACAACCCCATGCTTCCCAGTGGGATGAAGTATGAGATAGGTCAAGCTCTGTACCTTGGCTTCGTCTCTGCATCTTTGACTATCCTCGGTGGTGCACTGCTGTGCACGTCGAGCCAGTGTGGTGGGAACGAGACACCTTACCAGACACAGCGCAGCAGCGTAAGAAGGACTGCTCCCTCCTATAGACCACCAACTGTCTACAAGGGAAACCATGCTTCTTCCCTAACATCTGCTTCCCATAGCGGCTACAGATTAAATGACTATGTGTGAGTTCCCTAAGATTTGCCTGCGGGACACAGCTGCTTTATAATTTCTGTGCATGGCATTAAACAAAGCTAAGATGACTTCTAATTTATAAGGGTTACGATACAAAGTTTACCATTGTTCTTTTCATCCGTTCCTTTCTTTCCCGAGAAAGAAAGAATGCAAACACAAAACTGCTTGCTGCAAAAACAGGAAAATAAATACAAAGGAGGTTGTGATATTCCAGAGACAGCACATACCTGCCTACTTTCAGTCAGAGTTTTGCAGGCAGGCAGTTCAAGGGCACTTTTGCTAACAGTAATGGTTTGGTTTGTAATTTCTGCTCTGCAACAAGCACTAAAGTGGAACTAGCCACAACTTGCTGTTTGAACAGTGTTCCAACAAAGGACGGCGTTTTGCCTAAAACAGAGAACTTTATGGTGAGATACAGCGATTTTCAGCAGTCCTGCTAAGCCAGCTAAGTTTCTCATTTCCGTAATGCATGAATGTTTCATTATGACAAGGTATTAGTTTTGCTTTGACTTAAGTTTTTGTTTGGTTTTTTAATAGTCCCTTGAAATAAGAATTTCAATAGCATTATGACAGATGTCTTTGACAGTATGTTATAACCAATATTTTAAATTATACTACAATGTTTTGACCTTATCAAAATAAAATTCTAGCATATTTTTGAAACAAAAAAGATGTATCATAATGAAAACAAACCATCTCAGAGGTTCAGAATTGGGTTTTTAAAAATGTCAATAATAGAAAAAAACTAGACACTTGATGTTAAACTTTTATTTTAAAAAAAATTTTAAACTATCAGAATTTGTCACAGAATGGACATTTAGCTCTTTAGCAAATTTAGCATTCCGAACAACCTATGCATTATATAGATCACAAAAAACATTTCTAGAATCCTATCCCCAAATGCCATGTAATGAAATGTACTCATTTCTTAGGCTCAGTCCTGGCATTTTTTGCTGGGGGTCCTGACTGAAGGTGCATTAGGGCTAGTAAGTACATTTCCATCTACTCTAGTGGCACTTGGGGAACTTCCATTCGGCCAGGCACAAGTCAGCCTCCATGCCAGCAAAGGTTATGCTCATGGGCCATAACCATTGCCTGTCAGGAGGAATATAAAATCAAAACATTTACTTCTAAAATCCTTGCAAAATGCAATCATTCCACAGTGTGTTCAAACAGTTTAAACAAACTAATGAACAAAGAACCTCAGCCCTCTCCATTTCATGTTACAGTGAAGTCTAGTGCAACATATAATACAGTATAAAACCATCACAAAAAAATAAAAGCACTAGATTCCTGCTAACCCCAGAAAGCTATAGGTCTCTATAGGACCAATACATTGATATTTAATAGGGTTTAGTAAAAAAATACTTCAAAAAACTCTGAGGAAATTACACTTGGTATACTTCATTTGGCAAAAAGCCTGTTTGCAATTATGTTATCACCTGGTAACACCTCCAGAGCTGGGATCCTTTCAACATTTCCCCTGGTTTCACAGTGAATCTTCCTTTCTGTGCCTGATCACCTAGTCATTTTTTTTTTTTTAATGTTGATTCGAATTGCAACACAGCATTGATGCAAGTTATTATCATCACTATTAAGAAACAAAACGGCAATTCTAAGCAATTTGCTGAGACCAACAATAACAAAAAGGATCTGGGACCAGGCTTTGGTGATTGATCAGTAACAACTGACTATAAACTCATGTTTTATTAACTGTAGCTATTACATACGATGTGAAAAAAAAAATTGTACAGAAACTTCACTGACTGCAAACATCTTACTAACAGACTCTGAGGTGCAAGGAATGGAGAGAAACTGCTTTGACAATGGCTTCTTAGAGAAGATGGAGTCAAACTGGTCATAGTCCATTACAGATTTTCTGGGATGCCTTTTTAGGACAAAAAGTAGCTTAATGAAGGTGGTCAATTACGTAGGGTTTTTTCTGTATTTATATTACAATAGATCTAGCCAAGTGATTATGATATCAACTTTGAACAAGGGCTTTGGACAGCCATGAATACTGGAACACAAATCCAAGTCCAGGAAATGGGCTTGTGTCTCATTAGGTAGTATGTTTGCTATATACTGATAAATTAATTCACTTGCCAAGATGTTTGTGTGGTGGGAATACTTATGTGTAGTGCTATTCTTACTGCACAAATTCCCAGCCAAGCAGGATACGTGACAGTAGTAAGAACAGTTTATAAAGTCCTGGCAAAATTACCTGGAAGTGCTCTGATGTCAATAATGTGAGGGAAATGGTTTCTTTCATAGAGGGCTGTGAACCAGTGGATCTTGTTCCATGTTAAAACTGACACAAATTTCTCCTTCCTTCTTTCTTTTTTTAAGTTGCCATTTGAAACAAAAAGCATATCCATTCTAGCAGCCTTAGAGGTCTGACTGGGGCTCCCCCAGACATGTTGATAATCTAAGGAGCTCCTCCCCTGCCCCCCTGCTGCCCTGCAGGCTGTTGGCCAGACCTTGCTTGCTGTTTGTGTGCTGCCTGCCTTGGCAGCCCTGCACAGGCAGAGCAGCGAGGTGATGCTTGGAGACTTTAGCCAAGGAATGAATCCTGACTGCCCCTCCTTTGCTGAGTGATCCCTTGGTCATCAGTGGCATTGATAAGTGACAGTGTCAAGGAAAGGGGATGAGTTTCCTGGACCACCAAGGTGCTGTTTATGGGGCTGTGCGCTTTGGGCAGCTATATCTCAGCAGCAGGGGCACAGGGCAGGGCATTGGACTAGGGCTGCCATGTGCCTGATTCTGCCCGTGTGCATCCACTGGGTTTTTGCAGAGTCCTGTGGAGGCAGATTATTTCATTATTTATTTTTTAAATAAGTACAGCCTGCTTTTTGCCTCCAGCTAGCTACAGATGAGGTCCCAGCCTGCCCTTCCTGTGAAGGCACTGCTGGGAGGCGAGGAGGGGATCCGGGACTGGCAGGAACTCCTTGTAGCATCGCAGGCATTGTTTGTGCATGTGACTGTGGTTATACCATGTTTTAATAAAATTCAGTGCAACATTTCTGAAGGAGCAGGGGTGGGAGACTTGGCAGGGAGGTGTGGGTGGAGGATGGGATTTGGCAGCAAGACGGTATTGTGGTTAGACCTGCACCTGCAGGATCAGGTAGAGATGGAGGCATCTGAGGTAGGGATGGAGTCTGGGCTCAGAGCAGCTGGAAGCTTCTGAGGCTTCAAGGAGATCTTCCAGAGACACATCTAACCAGGACCACCATGTGGGGATGGGATGAGGTCAAGAACGCTGCTCCTCACCTTGGCATCCTCCCTCAGGGCTGGTGGACTATCCATTCTCCAATCACCTTGGATTTGGCTGTCTAAAATATGGCAGGCCTTGATATTATCTCACAGAATATGACAGATGTGTAACTCTGATCCAGGGCATCACAAGCAACCAAATACAAATCCAAAGAAATCAAGAGAAGAAAACATTTTAATCACCTCTAATACTGTTGCTATAAAGTGGATAATAGACTAAAGGAAGAAAATGTGGCATTCTGTTATTATTGAGCCTGTGGGATTAAAATCATGACCTCCCTCACAATACAGTATCCCACTAAATCCCTTCATCCGCAGGAAATGGACCTGTCCAACAAGTTGTGAGAAGAGACTGATGTAATGACATGTATGCTAGGCTGAAAGTGGGCACAGATGTAGACCAAGATGTTTCTCAGGTGCAAGGCAGGAAGGTAGAAAAAGTGATCTACCTTTTGGTTTGACATACAAGAATACAATGATTTTAGGCCCCGAAGGAACAAGCCTGCCATTCTGCACAGCAGAAAATAAAATGCTGTAGTTCTGGAGGAATACATAATACATCTGTAAATTTTAATGTTGGAAGTTATCAACTAGATCTAAGTTTGGTAGTAACAGCAAGAATGCTCATGTCCCTGCAGACCTGTTTCAACCGTGGTTGAAGCTTCCACCATAATCCATGAGTTGATTCACTGCTACTGAATCGTGAGGTCCCATTTCCCCTGCCCTTGCTGCCACAGCTCTCAGCCACCACTTTGCACTTTGGTCCTCTCTGTGGACCAGTTCAGCCCCCTGAAAATGCAGAAAACTGCCAACTATATCAAAGAATGGGATAATTTTCTGACATTGACATTAGCTAACCTAGCCACCAGAAAGGTCTGAGGAGACAAAAGGGATGTCCAGAAGGGCAGGAGCAGTGGAAAAGGAAGAGTAAGGAGAGGAGTAAGTGTGTAAGGATTTCCCATTTTGGCAGTAGGAAATCAGTCAGCCAGCAGATGGGCACAGCTGCCCCGAAAACCAGAACCTGAGATGCACTATCATGGTCACTGTCACAAAACCAGATAGAGCTACTGGCAGACAGAGCTCTCCGAGTTGTGAACCAGTTGGCGTTTTTGTTGTTTTTTTCCACAATGCCTAATGCCAGTACTGGAGCAAGGTAACTGATAAACCATAGCAAAACTTAAGTCATTTCTTCAAGATGTGTCTGAGTTAACTGATAAGATGAGGAAACGAACTAAATTCATTAATTAGTTCTGTTGATCTAAGACAAAAGTTATCAGACCATTCCTTCAAGTAGCTGGTATTTAAGATTCTCCACATCATTGTATTAAGATTAATGGAAATTCTGTGTCCACCTGTAAATATCTACTATTAATTTATTTACTTTGCTGTATACCTCACAAGATGGTTTGTGTATATGCAAGGGTAAGGTGTTTCATGAGGTCCAGGAGCAGTTTAAAGAAGAGCTGAAAGCTCATCCTTTTTTCCCTCCCTAGCTCATCTACTAAAAGATACTGTCTCTTCCTTACATGCCTTGCTTTGCTGTGCAGCGTAATAGATAAGTTCTTTTTCACTTGTTTTCTTAAGAAATTATTCATACAGCTTAGTCCATGTAGTCCAATTATCCGTATTTCCTATTCTTACTAGCACCTCGTCATTTTGATTCCCAGTTTAATTTCCTATTCTGCCCATGACATCAGAAGACATGTTTGAACCTAGTGAGGCTTGATCCTGAACAAGCATAAATCAGAGGAGATCATTACC